TCCAATACAAAAACGTGAACGGTGCCTATGTGGCTTGAGATATAGCCAATTAAAAAACAACAAATAAAATATCTCTCTCCTTATTTAAACGGTTTTATATATTTTTGGTAAGTTTATTTCCACAATGTCAAGTACAATGTCTAGATGTAGACATTGCGATTGACATAGTTGAGAAAAACTTACCAAAAACACATACAACCGTGTAAAGAAGGAGAGAGAAATGTCATAAGTATAATTTTTTGTGTCTATCTCTCTCATGCCACATGTGCACCGTGTATATTGTAGCATTGGAGATGCTCTAAGTAAAATCAGTTAGAAACGTAACTTATGAATTATTTTATTTCTTTACTAGCTTTCAAGCCCATGCGATGCACGGACAGAATGTAATTTAGCTAATTTGAAATTTAATTTCTATCAGATCACATATAATGTGATTTAAAAGAAAAATAAACTTAGTCTAACATAGAGTCTGTTTGATAATACTAAAGTAAAAAGAATTAACTTATTTTGCTGAAATTGATTGAATTCTGGTTAAATAGATGGAATCTTCTAAATCATGAAAAATATATGTGAAATATATTCCATTTGTGAAACAAAGAAAAACTATATGCAAAAAAAGTTAAATTGGTCTTCTACATAAGCATCTCAAGTAAACGTAATTGTTATGAAACCAATAAAAAAATTCTATATTTCTTAATTGTTAGATCTTACAGTTTACTAATTAATAAGAACGTTTTTAATTGAATTAAAATTTCGGGTTTGATTTGGTATGAATTAATATGGTCTATTAGATGTTTGTTTTTATGTGACTTATTGTTATAATTATTAAAATTTGATCTGATCTGATATAATCTGGAACTGAAATCAATCCAATTAAAAACATTCTATTAAAATAAAAGTAGGAATTCGTAAACCTATAAAGATTTTCTAATTTGGATTAGGAATCTATTTCAAAATAGAAATTGCTCTAAATAGGAGCAAAAACGTTTTAAAATTCCAAAATAGGAGTATTATGTTTTTTATTTCCTGAATAGGAGTAATCTGCCAAGTTTGAAAAAAATGCCATGTTTTAAAGCCTGGTAATGCCAAACTTGGCAGAAATTTACTCCTATTCAAGGAATAAAAACATGATACTCCTATTTTGGAATTTCAAAACTTTTTTACTCATATTTAGGGAATTCTCCCATTTCAAAAGTGAAGGCATATTTGAATTTTAGGTGTAAAATAAAGAAATAACAAAAAAATTACTTATTTGGCTAAACTAAACATATTTACTTGTGAAAATATATATACTTTATGTTGGTTATAATTTTTAATTTTATCTTTAATTATTTACTTATTTGAAGCTTACTAATTTATGAATAGGTGTCAAATTAATAAGTAAACTAGTTTGCATATTTGTTTCTATTTAATTCGGTGTAGTAAACTAATATAAATTAGTTTCCATATCAATAAACGTTATTAGAATTTCACTTTGATAACCAAAAATTATTTTACTTATTTGAAGCTTACCAAATTAATTAAGGTGGATTTAAAAGGATTTTTGTTTCCATATCAATATGCAATCAAAAATAGAATCTAATAAAAACAAAAGGTATAAAAATAAGTAAATAATTGTTATATATAATGACATGGCAGGATTATATGGCGCTTTATATACTCTTAAAAAGTTCCTCTTATATATATATATATATATATATATATATTGATTTTGTCTTACGAGAATATAATTATGAAACTTTTCATACAAAATAAGTCGATCTCAAATAATTGAATTTAAGAGCCAATTTATTTTATGAATTTCTTACCTCTACAAGTTACAACTATACTACGTAGTATTATTTTGAAAGAAAATTACAATTATACTATAAAATACATAGTACTTTTTTCTGGTCAGTAAAATAAAATCATATACAAAAGTAAGAAAAAAAGTAAACTTTCTTTGGACTATAAAGTAACACGGGTAATTCATTTTTCATTATGAACATGCGCTTTATCTATACTAATCATGTTATGTATAAGAAATATTTGAATGTTATGGTAAAGGAGAACTGCTGCAATTGCACCATATTTAGGATAAGAGAGTTGTTTAATACAAACAGATTTTCCTTGGGAGAAATGGCTGAAAAATATTGTTCCAAACATTTTATAAATTTTGACTGATGTAAAATCAGGAGTCTCAAATAAACTTGTAGTAGGGAGTAGGTAACTAGCACAGACAGATCATAGTAGAGGCTAGGGTGGATCATAGTAGAGGCTAGGGTGGGCTCCAGCTAGGCATGGATAAGGCCCGGGCCGGGTCGGGGTCCGGGACGAGTCGAGACTGGAGTTTAGGGATGAAGGTCCGATACTAGCCCGGGTTGGTCTCGGGTCGTTTTTTTTTATTATTTAGTGTAAAATTTAAAACATTAAATACATTTTCTAAAAATCAGTCGGAATCTCTGCCACCATCGGTTGTTTGTTTCCTCCATGAAGTGGCGGGTGGGGGCAATGCTAACTTCTTCAATTCTACGTTGGGCCTTCAACCAATCGTGCAAGTAAACAAGCGTCTCAAGAGATTTTGCGCTCAATCTCGTTCTATAATCCGTTAGGACGTTGTCGGCCGCACTAAATTCTTGTTCCACGGCAACTGTTGACACCGACATTGCTAGCACTTGCTTAGCCATTTTTTATAAAACCGAGAACATTCTTTCTTTGTCCTTCCACCACCGCAGAACGTCAAAGTCATCCACGTCTTCATAGTCAGTAGGAAACCTTAGATATAAAGAAATTTCGTTAATCGAGCTTTGTGCAACCGTGGGAGTTGGTTTACTTTTTAGTTTTTTTCATAAGATTGTCAAATGTAGATTTCAAAAATGATTTTCCTTTAGATGAAGAAGATGTTCGTGTCGGGGGAGGGGTTGCGTTACCATGTTGTGCATAAAACTCATTATATAATTGATCAAATAAGTTACTAACCTCGTTGTATTGCTTTTTAGGATCTATGAGCTTATCTTCGTACATAGGAAATGGACCAAAAAATGAAGCATAATAGTACTATAAACAATTTTGAAAAGCATTAAGTTTGAAACAAGGATCAAGAATAAATGTAATATCATATATATATGCGGAATATGTGAATAATATTTTAAAAACTTTTCTTTTATAAAAGAACAAAAATGATGAACGTAAGGGGCATCAGAAAATTCACAAAAAGCATTGGCTAGAATAACAGCTTCAACATAAAATTGGTTTGCGGTAGGTTTACAAACATGACTAAAAGTTTGAGTTGCATTATTAAAATATACCAAATCATTGACATTTTTTGCATAGTGTCGATGTCAGCCGGATTTATAATATAGTTAGCATATTCTTTTAAAACAATATAGTATTTAAATCTAATAAGTAAAGCAATTAAGTTATAAGTACTATTCCAGCGAATAGATAAATCTTTAGGAAAAGCACGATAGTTCACATGTCTATCCTTCAAATATTGACGTCATTGCATTTTAAGTGGATTACTTCCAATGCGTGTTGGGATATTGGGCCGAAGGCCCAATACTCGGATCAAAGGCCCAATATATCAATATATCCAGTCCAATAAACGGGCCCAGAATCCAGAAGATGAACAGGCCCATGGAGAAATATGTTCCGAACGGGGTTCGGGTCAACCAATGTACTTCAAACAGGGTCCATTACCCGTTCGGGCACCGGACAACCAACAAGTGGCAGGAAGCATTTATTGCTAGAGTATGGCGGTAACAAGTGTGAATATGGGCTTTCAAGTGGCTGGATTAGCACCAATCAACATGAAGCACCCCATACCCCCATTAGTATAGATAGAAGGATTAATTTCATTGCAAAGGGTTAGATTTTTGAGACTCAAAGCCTAGAATAGCCTAATTACTCTTGTACTTGTATTAATCACTATTCCAACGTACCGTTCGGGAAGTTATTGTGTAATCAGCGAATTATCTAATACAAGTGGGCTTTTGAGCGTTATATTATCCATCTTTTATATTTTCTTATACACTGAATTCGTGACCATTTTCTGAAATATCCAAAGTTCGTGTTGGGTTTTCGGATCTGCGGGACTTAACTTCAACATTGGCGTCGTCTGTGGGAAACTCCAACAAAAAGTTTCACACTAATCACTCACCTAAAACAACCAATCAGAAAAAGCCACATCACCCGGACTATTTGAAAGGACATGTGTCGCATGGGAGAGCAAAGGTCAGTAATCATGACGATTATGAAAAAATTCAAACGACAGCCGCAAATAAGGTACAAATTATGATATGGGGAACCAGCGAATTCTGGATCCCGATCGCCATTCGGCGTTTAAGTTCTACTTCCCAATACCCGGATCAAAGGCCCAATATATCCAGTCCAATAAACGGGCCCAGAATCCAGAAGATGAACAGGCCCAGGGAGAAATATGTTCCGAACGGGGTTCAGGTCAACCAATGTACTTCCAACAGGGTCCATTACCCGTTCGGGCAACGGACATCCAGCAAGTGGTAGGAAGCATTTTTTGCTAGAGTATGGCGGCAGCAAGTGGGAATATGAGCTTTCAAGTGGCTGGACTAGCAACCAATCACCATGAAACACCCCATACCCCATTAGTATAGATAGAAGGGTTAATTTCATTGTAAAGGGTTAGATTTTTGAGACTCAAAGCCTAGAATAGCCTAATTACTCTTGAACTTGTATTAATCACTATTCCGACGTACCGTTCGGGAAGTTATTGTGTAATCAGCGAATTATCTAATACAAGTGGGCTTTTGAGCATTATATTATCCATCTTTTATATTTTCTTATACACTGAATTCGTGTCCATTTCCTGAAATATCCGAAGTTCATATTGGGCTTTCAAATCTGCGGGACTTAAATTCAACAAATACATTATTACTCGATCAGTATATCTGTTACTCTGTAGTGGCCTACATTTTCAGTTTAGAAATTGAACAAACAAATAGAAAGGTGTTTCATTTCCAACGTTGGCTTCGGTCATTGGAGAACCAAAGAAATATAAGTAGGCTCATTTGGATTTAGGACTCAATGCACAGTTTCTCATGACAAAGTGCACCCAATGCATTTTAAACAGTATTTTTTTGGCAAAACATTTTAAACAGTATTATTCATTCGAATGTGAAGTTTGTTATAATAATTAACTATAATCAGTGAGTTTACACATTGATTCAAATGTAATGTGGAATCACAATTTGACAGTTGTAGAATCATCAACCGGATGCCAAACCCGATTCGAGACCCACATTGAATCCGCTTTTACAGCCCACCCGTCTTGATTTCGATGCCAGCTATAGTATGCATGAGTCTGGTTCTTGATCTCAAGAGTGGCATGTCCAAAACTTGCCTCACGAAAAGCTGAATACTCCGGCTGTGGTTCACTCATGCTGCAACCCCCAAAACAATCAATGAAGTTTATTAAATTAAATTGGACTAAAATCGTCCCACAAGGATCTTCAGGATGTGACTAACCTACCTTATATGGGCTAGCAATCCTAGCATAAATTATGGGCACCAAACTCTAATGATATCATGCTCCGATATCATATTAAATTGGGTCTAACTCACCCCAAAAGAATCACCATGGGCTAGGATTTGCCTTACACTAGTACATCAGCAACATATCTGAACATTCAATGTGGGACACTTGCAACAGACATAATAAACTCCAATTTTTTAATAAGAGAAATGTATGTCTCACTTTGTGGCTAAACCTTCAAGATTTCCTCCATCGCCAATAGTAATGTATATAGGGGCAGATTGGTCACGTGCAGGCTTGCAATTTCCGTTCACAATGTTGTACGCCACATTGGATATTCTCTCCTGCAACCAACAACATAAAACATAGGGACTAGCTGCAAGTTTTACAGTGTAAGAATAATGGGGCTTTTAATATTAACTTGTTATTACCGAGCGTTCATAAGCATGAACATGACCGGCTAAAACAATGTCAACTTTGAACTCCACAAACCACGGCTCGTACATGACTCTCATGGTTTCTCCTTCCATGTAGTGATAGTTATAGCTGTTGTACCATGGAGAGTGCACAAGAACAATCAACCATGGTGTCTCACTCCTGTTCACTTTAGGCAGCTCCTCTTCCAGCCATTTGTACTGAGGAGTGTACTTTCCTACAATAGTAATTAAAGATCATGCCAATGTTCTATAATATAATTGAGAAGGCCATTACAATTAATGATAAAAGGCATATCCCTTTTATTGAAAAATTATAAAAACAACAAAAATGGATTTTTCTCGTAATACTAAAATTGAACTAATGGAAAAAATGTGATTTCATAGTAACTAAAGCCACTTCAAAAATATTATCACGGTCAATTTGTCACTCTATTAAATGGAGCACCATTATGGTAACCACAGTCACTTGGAAGGTGGCGGTAAGTGCTCATTAAAGGTCATACTTTGGCCCATTATTCCTTTTTAGTTACTATTTCCGACAAAAAAAAGCTCTTCCATAGTCTTACCATATGCTGAATATGAGGACAGAACTATGATATATGTTGAAGCTCTCTTTATTGAATACCATAAAGGAGAAGTACTGCCTGATGCTTTATAGGGAACACGGTACCGATGAGTATATGGTTTAAAAGGTTTTGTTTCTCCCTGCATAGAGATTCGCAATCCACATGAGTTGATAAATAAATCAATAATATCATAACAAGTGTTCGGTTTTACCGTTTTAGATAGTTGCTTACAATTTCAGGAGCGAAATCTATCTCATGATTTCCAGCAGTCCAAATCCAAGGTTGATAGGCAACACTTCTCTCGACAAACCTACCCCATGTATCCCACCTCACATTGTCATGGTTTGGATAATTGTCTGCATAAGAGAGATCACCAACAAACAGAACCGCTTGCCCTTTAGCTGGATTTGATTCATAATGTGCGAGTGTTTTGTTCGAGTCAAAACTCTGCCCAAGATCCCCTGCATAACATAAACGCCATGTTTGGAAACTTAACTTTTACATTAGCTGCACTCTTAAAAGGTCGATAGTCATATCAACTGTTTTTACCAATTTTTTATTTTAGCAGTTTATGGAGAAATGTTTTTGGTAATAGCATGTATTTGTTAAGCTATTTGAATGTATAATATATAAAATAAGAAACTTTTAAAAAGAATTTTCTAAAAAAAGGTTCCCAAGTAAGTTTCCAGAAAGCAAGATTTTCTGCTATTTATACCTAAATTTGATCGACTCATAAACATACACTAAAATTAGTTGTTTGAAATGATCAAAGAACTGATTCATATAAAAAAGAGCTAAAAGCCCTCCAAAAAGCTCTTTTATGAAACAGGGTTAAAATCCTCAACAGACTTGGAAAGGCAATAAAATTCCTCTTTGGTGTCTACAATTCCCATCTTGAAAACTTGGTCAAGAACTGTTTACCTATAAGTCCAAAAGTATATGGAACATCAGGCCCAACTTCTGGAGGAGTCATGAACCAGAAGGTTCGACGTGTGTGTGTGATCCCCACCTCATAGTAGTATTTGGTGTTATACTGCCACATAAATAATAAGCAGTCAATCATATATTCTTATCTACCATAATTAAGTCCGAAAACGCCATAATAAGCTAAGCATATGAAGAAATTCAAAACAAGTGGAAATAAGCACCTCAAGATTCTTTATGGTGCAATGGTGAATGTAACCAGAAGTATAATTGGAGAACTTATAGGTTGTCATTTTCCCGTTGGCCTGTTTCTTGAGTTTGCTATTTTCGCTCCAGTACAGCACAGTATTCGAACCCGGTTCATCCACAGTGACCCATGACACAATTATTGCTTTCCCCACATGATCTCCTTGTGTGATGTGAACCTTTTCAAAAACCATCATCTCAATCCACAATAGAAAAACTAAATAACCGGATTCTAGGGCAATTAACTTGATTTAGCAGTTCAGTACTACATTTTTTTTTAGTTTTATGTAGCTAAAATGTAATAGTTACTCAGTTCAGCACTACTAAAGATGTCAAAATAATTAATAGTTGATGTTTCAAACTAAAAGTTCATTGTGATAAGAGAAAGGGGTATAGCAATTTCTATGATAATTTTGTTCAATTTAAATCAAACATGGTAAGAGTTGTTGGGCTGCTGTGGTCCTGCTGTAGGGCAGCACTCAAAACAAAGCATTGGCTGCTACACTTAAAGAAATAAGAGAAGCGCTTTGAGCAACAACAGCTTTTGGTGTAGCAATCAATCACAGACCAGGTCAGAAACAAACAAACTAGACTTTGATAGTTTCAAAATACACATAGACCAAACATCTTATAGTTCAGACCACACCAAACGAAACCTAATCCAGACCACACCAAACGAAACCTAATCCGGGGTTCCATCCTAAAAGGTCAAAGAATAGTCCAAATCTTAACATAGCACTTTATCACTTCATAATTTCAGTCCAACTAAGTTACTAACACATACTCCGTACGTGACACTGGTCCACTGTAAGCAGAGTGCAGACTAATGTAAGTTTATTATTGTTGGAATTCATAATCAATCACCATATAACTAGCTTTTCACAAAATCTGAACAGTGAAAGATAATGTCAAAACTGGGGTTCCAGATAGTCCAACAACATATATACTTCATATTTTAGAGGGATGAAAATACTAAGGCCGGACCTGTTGAGGAGCATTATATCCAGGAGGAACTCGGAAGACATCACTGTGGAGAGGCATATCTACAGCTTTCTCGACATTACGGACGAAGCTGCTGGTGATTCCGGCGCTGCATAGGATAGAAGCATTGAGAATCAATCCCAGAACAACGCAGCAGCAGCAGCTCCTTCTTCTCGCACTCATCTCTTCAGCCTATGCGATCGAGTTATGCGTACATAGCTGCGCTTGCCCGTGTATATATAATATGGCGGGGGAATAACGAAGATTCTCGTACGAATATCCAGTCCACCGATGAATGCGGGGCTGGATCAACCGTATCTTCTTGCGAATCATTCAAAGCAATGTGAAAGGCAGATTCCGGATATACATATATGCCGCTGATTCGTTGACTCGTCAATCAACATCATTATCCGGACTCCGTAGTAAATAACATCATATTCCGGATACATCATTATTGACCTATCTACATACGTAATACTCCTGCAAATGACATTATAGTCTACATGTACACACGACTATTTTTGTAATATGTATCAATTTTAAGCTTGATTCTTCCGTCCCTATTATATACTGTTGCTTTGCTTTCTTCTCTTGCAGCAGTGATAGGGCCTTAGACCTGTACAAAAACGGGTTCGGGCCGGGTTTGGGCCGGGTTTTTTATAAATTTTCTGCCCATCATGTGTGGGCGGGCCCGGCCCGGCCCGGCCCGTAAAAACGGGCCTAACCCTATGTCCATACCCGCCATAAGAGCGAGCCAGGTAGTCCACCGAGCTATCTTGCTCGGGAATACTTTAATTTTTTCAAAATTATATGATTTTTTAAATACTTTAAAAATAATGTTACAACATTTAGAAAATAATTAATACGTTTATAATGTTTATACGTCTTTTACCACATACAAAAAAATACTTACACAAAAATAATAATGAGAAACTATATCTAAAATTTAAGCACAAAGTATTATCTTTAAGTACAAAAATAGATATTATATTGGTTGGGCTAGTTGTTAAGAACTAAAAATTTAAATTTAAACATAATAAACTATAAATATGTATAAAGAAAAATTAGTATATATAAATATACATGTGTATATGCAAATAAATAAATTAGTATATATATAAATATATATTTATATATACTAAATGTAGCGGGCCGGGCTTATCGACCCGAACGGGCCTACACCCTTACCCAAGCCCGTTCATATCTTATTGTGGGCCGGGCTCGGGCCGGCCTAGTGGGTAAATATATATGCCCATGCCCGCCCATTTGTGCGGGCGGGCTGGGCGGGTCGGGCAGACCGGTCCGGTTTTGTCCAGGTCTATAGGGCCCTCATTATCACTCCCCGCTGCTTTTCATTTTTCTTCGACCCCCTTTCTCTTTGTTCTATTGCCATTCTCTTTGTTCTATTTGGTCTTTCCTGATGGTTTGCTTTACATGTTGCCTTTTCTTTTTTATTTTACTTTTTTTGTTACTTTTACTCTTAGTTAATTTACTCTTTTGTTTTGTCTTTTTTCTTTTCTTCTTTTCGTCACTTTTATTTCTTGTTTCCTTCTTTCTTTTTCTTTATACGAAGTATATTAATACCGAACATATTAAAACTGAGCTTTATTTTAAACTCAAATAAGTAAAGCGTTTAAAAAGAATGAACATACACAAATGTGCTTTTGAATTTTTGAAAACTCATTTTTTAAGTTATGTTTGTCCATTTAGTACCTTTGTTGTGCTCATTTTAAAATGTTTATCAATCCATATTTCAAAAGTCTCATATTACAATAGATTCACATAAATTTTGATTATAGACACGAGACTACAAATCATGATTCTCAATCGCACGATTCTAATACTAAATAATGGAGGTTCGATGCTCACTGAAAATGTCTTGATGTTCAACGAACAAAACTTACAATTATATATCAATGCTCATCTTGTAAGTTATATATGCTCATTTGTATATTTCTGATGCTCATTAAAAATTCATTAATGTGCATTTAATAGAAATCAGAAATCGTGATTTCCATCGATCTCAATCGATGAGGTTTGATACTCAATAAAAATGTTGTGATGTTCAACTAACAAACTTTACGATTTTTATATCAATGCGCATTTTGCAAGTTACGTAGGCTCATCTGGTACTGATCTTGTGCTCATTTTGTAAATGTCATATCAATGCATTTTAATAAGTTTTTTTTAAAATAAAAAATAACAAAAAGAAAGTGAATTAAATGTTATGAAGCAGATATTACGATTTTGAATATTAGACTCCTAATACTCAACATAATAGGTCTTATGCTCATTAAAAGTTCATTAATGCTCATTCACCAGAAATCGTGATTTTCATGTTAATATCGGAATTTTGATGCTCAATTAAAATGTCGTGATGTTCAACTAACAAACCTTACGATTTTCATATCAATGTATGGTCATTTGATACTGATGTTATACTCATTTTTGAATTGTTATATCAATGCATATTTCAAAAGTATCATATTAAGTATCATATTACATTAGACTCGCATATTGAAATTATTAGGAGTGTATTGTAGATATAATTTAATGAGTTTTTATAAAAGAAAAAATAAGAAAAAGAAAAAAGAATTAGAAGATATGAAGCGGGGAGCGTGATACTCATTGTTAGTCTCTTAAATACTCAATAAAATAGGTCTGATGCTCATTAAAATTACAATATTGCTCATTTAGCGGAAGGCGTGATTTTTCGCTTAAATTACAAAAATGCCACCGATTTTTTTTGGCTTATATCAGTTATTGGGCTGCCTTCCTTAGTTGGGCTGGGTGTACGTACACCCGGATGTACCATATAGGCTCTCTAATACTCCCTCCGTCTCATAATTTACTTCCAACTTTCCCTTTTCGTCTGTCCCAAAAAGAACTTCTCTTTCCCTTTTTGGCAAAGAATTTGTGGTTCGCAACAATTCTTACACATTCTTACACATTTCTCTCCCCTCTTCACAACTCTTCACCACACAATTCCCACTTTCTTAATTTATGTGCCATTTTTACTATGGAAGTAAATTCTGGGATGGAGGGAGTACTAGGGATGGACTTGGGCCGGGCCAACCGGCCCGGAACCAGACCGACCCGCTACTGTGCGGGCCCAGACCAGCCCGGTGAACCGGTTGGTGCCCGGTTCGGGCCACCCGGCCCGGTGTGATAGAGGTTTGGTCCCGGGCCTGCATTTTAGTGAACCGGCCCGGGCGGGCCGCAACGGTCATATTTAAAAAAAAAATTATTTAAAATAGTTAAAGGCTCTATAGCCGTTGGGAGAGCTCCCAAACGGCTCTATAGCCGTTGGGAGCATAGGAGGGGGGGTCTGAGGGTGGGGGTGGGGGTGGGGGTGGGCTATACAAAAAAAAACCTAATTATACTCCTATTTTCTATACATTTTTTACACCTCTTCTTCTACAACTCTTCCTACTCTCTAAATTCTCTAATCTCTCAATCTCTCATATTCAATCATCTTCATTCTTCATCTTCTCCAAATTCTTTCTACATATATATAATTTATATAATTATTATATCTACTTATATATTAATTATCTACTTATAAATATATACTTATAAACATTCATATTATAATTCTTTACACATTATATTATATATACTATGTATAGTTATACATTATATTATATATCACTTATAATATATTTACACATTCATATTAATATTAGTTAAAGTAGTTAATTGTTTCATTTGTCATATTAATATTAGTTAAAGTAGTTAATATAGTTATACATTATATTATATATTACTTATAATATATTTACACATTATATTATATATACTATATATAGTTACACATTCATATATAGTTTCATTTGTCATATTAATATTAGTTAAAGTAGTTAATTGTTTCATTTGTCATATTAATATTAGTTAAAGTAGTTAATTGTTTCATTTATCGTATTAATATTAGTTAAAGTAGTTAAAGTTAATTGTTTCATTTGTCATATTAATATTAGTTAAACTACTTAATTGTTACATTTCTCATATTAATATTAGTTAATTGCTACATTGCTCATTGAAGTAAAAAAAAAGTAGTTAATTTTTACATTTCTCATATTATTTAATTGCTACATTTCTCATTAAAGTAAAAAAAAGTAGTTAATTTTTACATTTCTCATATTAGATAATTGCTACATTTCTCATTAAAGTAAAAAAAGTAGTTAATTTTTACATTTCTCATATTAGTTAATTGCTACATTTCTCATTAAAGTAAAAAAAAGTAGTTAATTTTTACATTTCTCATATTAGTTAATTGCTACATTTCTCATTAAAGTAAAAAAAAGTAGTTAATTTTTACATTTCTCATATTAGTTAATTGCTACATTTCTCATTAAAGTAAAAATAGTAGTTAATTTTTACATTTCTCATATTAGTTAATTGCTACATTTCTCATTAAAGTAAAAATAGTAGTTAAATATTGTACTCATATAAAATATTTGATATCATTTAATATTTGTTCAATTTTAAAGATGGAGCGTGGTAGACATTCTGTAGATGTGGGTAATCTCCAACGCAACCGCAAGAGGGAGATTGCATCGACTCGATCTACTTCACGCAAAGGCAAAGGTAAAGCGCGGACCGAGTCTTCTTTTCAAAGTCGAGATGATTTTGAAACGGATTACCAACGGCGAGATGATATGATGATGTCCGACGAGCAACTACAACACCTATTGTCCCAAAATGATCCACGATTTGCACAAGAACAACAATTCCCGACAACCATTGATGAAAAGGAGCTCGAGGATAACGATGCGGAGGAGGACACGGGGGGCGACAGGACTCACGGCACCCCGGATGATGAGCAAGAGTTGGAGGGCGAGGGCCGTTCAACGACTTCAACCCAAATTGGTAGGAAATCTAAATGTCCTATTATTGAAAACAATTATACAAAAAGGAAAGACGAAAATACCGAAAAATGGTACGCAAGTTGCAATCATTGCAACAAAGAGTTTAGCTTGGGAACTTCTGGCGGATACGGGAGTCTCAAAAGGCATCTTAAGTCCGCCCAATTTGTGGAGTATGCGAAAATAGACAAAGGCAAGGGGAAGCAAACACAAATATCGAACTTTGCAAATTCTCAACCCTTTGGTAATTTCTCCTATGATGATAAAAAACATTTGACTGGTATGTCTCATTTAATTGTTGAAGAAAATTTACCCTATATTTTTTCCGAATGTCTTGCTTTAAGAGATTATGCTCAAGGTACTGTAAATCCTCAATTTACAAACTATAGTCGCAAAACGATTAAAAAAAAAGTTATAAGGCAATATAACTTGGAAAAAGAAAAATTACAAACATTTTTCGCAAACTTTGATGGACGTGTTAGTATTTGTAGCGATATATGGGAGGATACTTATCATCATTTATATTATTTGGGTCTTACTGCACATTATATTGATGATGATTGGAATATGCATAAACGTGTTCTTGCTTTTCGTGAATTCAATGATCGTCACACTGTTGATAATATTTATATTCTCATTGAACGTATTTTAATTGAGTATAATTTGATTGATAAGGTGTTTGCTGTTAGTTTTGA